TTAGGGAATATTTTTCCAGCAGCCTGCATTAGGCGGGCTATAAAGTCCGAATAAGGTTCAGAGGGTCCTTGAGAGATCTTGGAAATTTTTGCTTCAGTCTTAGAAACGGGCAGGGCTTTCCAGGCATGGACTGCAGCTGAGGCTATTTGAGCATAAACACCTGGGTCGTAATTAATTTGTTGGCCTATGGTGGCATACTGCCCAGTTCCTGTCAACATTTCGGCATTTCGCTGTTGATGGCCCGCATTCAGGTTAATCTGAGCCAGCTCGCGGCACCTTTCATGATATTCACTTTTCCACAATAAGAAATCCCCTCCAGATAACACAGCCCTGCAAAGTTGCTGCCAATCATTAGGTATCAGTTGACTGGCTGAGAAAGACTCGAAGAGGGTCAATGTGAAAGGGGCATGAGGTCCATAATTAATGACCGCCTCCTTAAGCTGTTTTATGTCCTTGAAGGCTAGGGGGACATGGGCTCTGGCCGGCTGTCCATCAGCATCGGCGTTTTCAATCATTGGAAAAACCTGAGCCGCTCTAGAACCCCAGTGGACCCCCGCCCGTCTAGTAGGGGCGTCCTCATTCCAATCAGGATTATAGGGAGGAGGTGCGGCAACTGAGGGGGCCCTAGGCACCCTCACATTTGCCCTTTTAAGGCGATGTTCTAATTCCTCTATCTCCCTTTCTAATCCCTCCTCTTCCTCAGAGAGAGAACTGAGGTCCTCAGGATCATTTTTGGGCTTAGAAATCTGGAGGCGTTTCCTACCCTCCGAGCCCGAGTCCTCAAGGGGACCCTCATCCTTTAAGGATTCTGCCATTTGCTCTTCCTGCACCTGATTAAGGGCCTGTTCACATTCAGCAAGCTGATCCTTGATCTTTACTTTATCTGTTAATAAAGCATCCTTTACCAACCTCCATAAGGAAAAGGTGGCAACTGGGACACTGTCCGAGCCCCGGTCCCTCAATAATTTCTGAAGGTCATGCCTCACCAGGTCCCAGTCACTATTATTAAGAAATCCTCCTGTCAGAAACCAAGGACAAGCCTGGGCAATAATTTCAACGAATTCGGTTGCAGTCTTAGTTTTTATTCCTGTTCCTTGTGTATTTAACAGCTCTTTCAGTTCGTTGGCCAGACGAACCTTCGCTGTTGAGTTACCCATGGTACGTACCCTGTCTCTTTAAAATATCTTTAAACCAATCCTCCCCCTTCTTTCTTAGAAGGTGAGCCCCGTCCGCTTACCCCTGCTTTCCGGATCTCGGTGAGAACCTCCAATTGCCTCGTCCGGCCAAGGGAGCCGAGTCCGGCGAGGGACGGCGAGGTTAAAAGACACACAGGACACCAAGGTTCTTCATCCAGGAGTCAATAATCTTTATTGCTAACACACCTTTTTTTATACCCCAAGCAGCAGAAGTGGAAAACTACCCAAAAGCAGGAGGGAGGGGGGAGAAATTTAGTTTCAACATCTATTATTGTCAGGTACCGAAACCTCCCTTAACAATAAGTCCATCAGACCAGAAAAGGTCAAGGCATTCCCGTGGGATACATATGTCTCAGACGGATAAGCAGGAACAGAAAAACCGCAAGTTCGCCATGGCCTTGTGAGCTGGCCACACTGGCATGCAGAACAAACTAGTGGAGGTAGGGCTCCAGGGGCCAAGGTGGACCTGTTGCCAACACTCTTCTGAAACACATTATGTGTATGTTGGTACACTTTATTATGATCAATGTTCATTTTCTTTAATTCTTTTTCAATACCTGCTCCTATGACTGGATAATCTCAATTGACTTATCTTCAAGCTTTCTGATTCTTTCTTCCACTTACTCAAACATTTTTGAACTTCTCTAGTAAATTTTTCATTACTGCACTTACCTCCCAGGTTCCTGTCATTTTTTTGTAATTTATATTTCTATTGGTATACTCTATTTGTTGAGACATTGTATTTGTGGTTCTTCTTTTGGACATGGTTTCTTTTAGTTCTTTGTTAATACATGAAATAGTTGATTAAGAATTTTGCCTATTTAATGTATCTAATGTAGGCCTCATTATAGCCTGTTGCTGTTACTTTTTGCCTGCATATGAGCTGTACTTTCTTATTTCTTAGCATACCTTGTAATTTTTTGTTGAAAATTGGACATTTGAGTATTATAAGATGTGTCAACTCTAGAAATCTGATTGTGCCTCTCCCCAGGGTTCACTATTGCTTTTTCTAGTACTTACTGGTTGATCATTTATTGACTTATATGAATTATTTTTAAAAATTGTGTAAAATACACAAAATATAAAATCTATCACTTTATTGATTTTTTTTAAATATATTTTTTAGTTGTAGATGAACACAATATCTTTATTTATTTATTCATTTTTATGTGGTGCTGAGGATTGAACCCAGGGCCTTGCGCATGAAAGGCAAGCACTTTACCACTGAGCCACAACTCCAGCCCCACTTTATTGATTTTTAAGTGCACAGTTTTGCAATGTTAAGTACATTCATATTACTATACAATTATTACATCTCTAAAACTTTTTCCTCTTCCCAAACTGAGATTCCTATCCCATTAAACAATAAGACTCCATCCTTATTGTTCTGCTTGGGCCCTTGAAACCCCTATTCTACTTTTTTCTCTATGAATTTCACTACTCTGGGTTCCTCATACAATTTGAACTAATGTTTTTATTGCTTGTCATGTGGGGATACAGGTCACTGTGATGATCACTGCTTAGTAATGAGCAAACCAAAAAAGGAAAAAAGAAAAAGAAAAATCTTCCCATGTTTGCATATGGGTTCTTGGTTTATTGAATAAGTTCCCTTTCTGTTCTAGCAGAGCAGAAAGTCAGCTAGATGTGAGGATTTGGGACTCTTATAGGTCTTTTCTGAGCATGCTCCAAACTCTTGGCATGGATGTGGTCTTCTGTGTTCCCAGAAATCTGTGGGAGCTTTTCAAACTCTTATTCCCCCGAAAATCTCATTCCCCTACCCTTTCCTTCAAAGCTTTTCAGATTGTCTGCCTTCCTTGTTATCTTTTGCCCCAAGTGGCAATCTAGTTCATTTGCCTTCAAATGTTTCCCACCAATATTGACTCCTTTCCTCAAAGTAGCTGTCACAATTTCAGGGAGCCAAAAGACAGCTCAAAACAAACCACCACAATTCTTTGAGAATAAGGTCTGTACTGCTTCTTTTGAGAATAGGAACCAGGACAAGAAATGGGGCTATTATGGGATGTGGACATTTAAAATGTCACAACGAGAGGCTGGGTTTGTGGCTCAGTGGTACAGTGCTTGCCTAGCATGCGTGAGGCCCTGGGTTCGATTCTTAGCACCACATATAAATAAAATAAAGGTCCATTGACAATTAAAAAATATATTTTTAAATTGTTAATGAACCTTTATTATATTTATATATACTTTATATATATAATGTGTATGTGTATGTATGTATATATGTATGTGTGTGTGTATATATATATATATATATATATATATATATATATATATATAATGTCACAACAATCCAGGCACAGTGAGGTGCATGCCTGTAATCATAGCGAATCTAGAGGCTGAAGCAAGAGGATGGCACTTTCAAAGCCAGCCTCAGCAATTTAATGAGACCCTAAGCAACTTTAGCTGAGATACTGTCTCAAAATAAAAATGGCTGAGGATGTGGCTTAGTGGTTAAGTGCCACTGGGTTAAATTCACAGTACCCCCCACAACAAATTTTTTTACAAAACTTTCTTACTGAGCCTTAACTATTTTTTTCTTAATTAAATGTTCCCCTGATCAATAGCTTTTGGTTGTATTCCAGAATTCCACATAACTTGGTTCTGATGGTTACTTGTTGCTGTTGTGGGGGTACAGACTTTTGGAGTTCTCTGCCATTATTGTTGACATCACTCCCTCTCATTTTATGTTTTTAACTACATAGAATTCCAAATTCCAGTGGACAGAGATATACTAATCAGTTCTCCACTGATGATGAATTGTTTCCAATTTTTACTAATGTAAACTATACTTCAGTGAATAATTTTGCACATTATTTTGCATGTATGCAATGAAATGCCTAGGAGAAATCTCAGAAGTGGTATTGCTGCAAAAGTATATGTATTTTGTGATTTTTATAACTATTGCCATTTACACTCCCATCATGAGAATTCCTGTATCCCCATAGTCTTATCAACAAAATGCTTTATCAAACTTCTGTACTTTTGTCTAACTAGCAAAAAATAGTATTTCAGTGTGGTTTTAATTTCTATTTTATTTTGAGTGAAATTGTGGATATATTTTTGTATTTTTTGAAGATACATTTGTGTTTCCTTTTATGTGAATTTTCTGATATGTTTTATCAGTCTTTTATAGGACTATAGTTTTTCCATATTGTTTTCTAGGAGTTCCTTATGTTAGTGTGATCTCACTTTAAATACATGACCATTGATCTTAATTAAGCATTTATGATGCAGAGCAATCTTTCTATTTCCCTAATACATTTATCAATTCATTTTCCTATGCATTTTTATTTTCTCCTTAAACTTTCAATAGCTTTTCCTCAGGATTATCCTTCATCTTATATTATGTTTCACTGAGAAAAATCAATGGCCTTACCCAGAGGCCACCAGGAACATATCTGTAGTTGAATAACACTGGATTTATTGATTTTGAGACAAGGTGCAAGTACCCGATAGAAAACCATGAGGACATCTCAATGAAAGGGTATTAACGGAACAAGACTTTTCCAGGCAATTAACTTTCTTGCACATTGTAGCAGGGTATGCATTTATGATAGGCACTGAAGTTTGAGGTTGGGAACTAAGGATCATCCTGATTCTTACTAAAGAGTAGCCTCCTGCTTAACAAATCAACCCTCTTCAGGAGTGAGCGAAACGCAGCGGTTCTCAATTGCCACAAGAGGGCGCAAGGCACTCCTGGAGGTACCACTCGGTGGTACTTCCAAGGGCCGGCGGGGTCCAGAGCTCAGAGCGCGCGCTAGTGGTGGGTGCCGGGCACGCGCCTGACCGCCCCCTGCCTTAGGGAGGGGGGCTCTCAGGGGCGCGTGCGCGGTTCCGCTGCGGCGGAGGCAGCCGCGATGGAGGACGCTCTGACTGAACGCCAGGTAAGCGGCGTCCGTGGGGCGGGTTCCCAAGCGCCGGCTTTACCCAGAAGTTTTCCTGTCAATGGTTGTTTGAACCGTCTCAGATTATGATAATTAATTCCTTCCTTCCCTTTTCTCGGGGCTCTTTGGAGTAATTTGGAAAGTTGTTACCAAGGAAACGGTTTCCTTTGCTTCCCGAGAGCCTTTCCCCTCTGGGCGATGGAGGGAACGTCTGCTTCTCTGGGGAGGTTGCATGCTTGAATTGGTCCCCAAATGTACTAGTCCAGATGTCTCAGCCCCAGGCCCCATTGAGTCTGGCTCCACTGTTGTGATTTTGACCTGGTATCACATTTTTCCAGTTTCACCGGCTTCCCTTCACTATCAGCCCTTGATAAAAGGGCTCCCATACTTTAAATCTCTGTCCTGTCTACCAAGTTTTGGTTTAAACTAGTCTCGTCATTTGTTTACTACCTTATTAATTGAAAAACTTGCTTATCAGTCTTCAAGGTGAAAGCCTTTGGTTGGATGGATGCCTACATTTCTTAACACTATCCTCATCACATTTACATTGGTTGGGTGTATATATTTTACTTTTAGAAAATTAAAATCAGTGCTAGACCTTTCAGTAGTATTTTAATTTACCAAAGGATAGAGGCACTCAAATAATTGTTGAATGATCAAGTGAATGAATGTTTTATTTCATTTGATTCTCAAAAAATTACTGTGAAATAGAGAAGATAGTTACTCATGAACCTAGTCATTCATTCATTCACTCAACTATGTTCCAGCCCCACCCTGTCAGTCTCTTGGAAGGCCTCTCAAGATCAAGGAAAGAAGACTTGATGTTCAGGATAAGAGGGTAAACAGCACAGATATAATCCCTGCCTTCAATGAGCTTATTGTCTCATTAGAGAGAGTTATAACCTATACAGTAGAGTTGAGGAGACAGACTTAGAATGACTGAGTAACTTTACCATGGACCACACAGCCAAAACTCAAGGGAAGTAGGAATCTGTTTTAGCCACCCTAGAAACCAAAACGGACTCCCCATAAAATTTGATTCAACTGTAGAACTGATGATGCCATACAGAAACCATGAGGGTTGAAGTGGTCTATTACTTGGAGGTCTCTGGTGGACCTCTTAAGACAAGGAAAGAACACTGGCTCCAGGTTTTTACTGTGATTAGGAAGTGGAGCTTGGTAAGGGTTTCTTGGTAAGAGAGAGCTTGGTTGGTGTGAATCTCCCTGCTACTCCAAAGGAAAGAGCACTCAGACTTTCTTATCAACACGTCCTGAAGAAGAAGAGGGAGGAGTGAGGCTTTAAAGCTGTCTGCAAGCAAGCCTAAGGATATTGAATCATTGAATCCTCATTACAGTTCACCCCTGTAATGACTGAAATGTACCATTTTTCATTTAATTAAATTTGAACTCTTGTAAGAAAGCCATTGTGGCTCTTTATGGGGCCTGCTGCATGAAACCAGTGAGAAAAGTGAAAGTTCCATAAAAAGCATTGTTCACGATTCCATTTTGAGAAAGAATATGAGTGTCTTGATCATTATTGGTAATGTCTAGAACTCTGAAGGGATAAGGAGTGTCTTGGTGGGAGGCCTTGTGTTATGGATTTATTTTATGCAGATATATGTGTGACCTTGATTTATATTTTGGATATAAACCCTTAAAGCAAGGGTTTCAAGAGTTCTTTCCCCAAAGGGTGCAACTCTCAGGTAATGACCCTATAATCTGTAAAAATGTAGAGATGTAGTCAATTGTTGCCCAGAGTATTCAGTATTAAGATGACTTACAGAAGTTAAGCAAGTTGTACTTTATCAGGGACATTATAGTTAAGGGATGAGAAGCAAAAGTTCACCATAAAATTCCATCACACATTATGGTGATGCTTAATATTGTCCGTAAAGTGTACAAACTCCCATTGCCCTTCACTATTTGAACCCAAGGTGCTCCTCAGGTAGACAAAGGATCCAGGAGAGGGGTTACCTCTTTCAGTACCCTGACATCCATGTAGTCAGTGAGGACAGGGGAGGTCATGCCCTGCTTCAGTAGATTTGCCAGAAGGCCCTATTTGGCTCAATTAAGACCTTGCCTGTAAAGTTTGCAAATGGTGACAAAACTCTGGGAGCACATCAACAGTCCTTCTGGGTGAAGGTAAACTGACAGGTAATTGAAAGAGGTGTGGAACAGAACATATTAGCCAAGTCTATAAGAGCAAAATATTTACTACTTGTAATTTTAATAGTGCAGTATAGGGCTGTAGCATCAAGGATGCAGTAACCAACTGTGAGGCACCATTCCTTCTTTGCAAGTTGAATAAACCAAATAAGGCTGCTAAGTTGAAAAGTGGTGGGGATAATCACTCTTACTAATTAAGTCTTAGTTTCAAACCTTGAGAGCCCTGTTTTATTTTATACTGGGTTACATTAACTAGGGGAATGGTAGTACATAGGGGTACTGCTCTTTTTTTTTTAACCATTTTTTTATTCTTACCAGCAATGCACAAGATTGCAAGTTTTCTTTTTCTTTTTTAGTTGTTGGTTAACCTTTATTTTATTTGTTTATATGTGGTGCTGAGAATTGAACCCAGTGCCTCACACATACTAGGCAAGTGCTCCAGCACTGAGCCACAACTCCAGCCCAGGGTCCTGCTCTTTTAAAAGGCATTTTGTAAGCTCCAAAGACTTTATTTTAATTTATTATACATTGGGTCATAGTGTCCATGACCACTAGTGATATTTTAGGGTAATGTATGTTATGACCATGAACAATTTCACAGCAAGACATAGCTCTCATGGTGAAGGTAAAAAATGCCTTACAACCTTTGCTGTCTATGTTGAATAACTCCCCTAAGATTACAAGTGAAATTTTATTTAAATTTAGTGGGACCTCAAGGTATAACTCTAATTTGAGTCCCAGTGTTGATTAAAGCCAACTGATGCATTTCAGTGGAAATTGAAGTTAATTCAGAACCTGTGTTGTAGAGGCACAAAGTTAATCTTTTGTTATATAAATTATTTTAATAAATATTGTATTTCTAATTAGGTCAAATTATGGATTTGTTTCAGATTTGTTTGTTTCCTTTATGTGTCTAGGTTTCTCTCTTTCTCCTTCTCTTTCTGGTGGTTACTGAATAAATTTCCTGTGAAGTAGGTCCTCTCTATCCTTTTATGTTTTCAGATTTCTTCCTTCAGACCCCTTCACGTCAGTTTCACTGGGGATAGGGACTTCTTGCATGTCTATTGTTACTTCACAGGGTTTGAGAACTCTGAGCTGTTGGCAGCAGCAGTAGTAGGAGAGATATTTAAGGGTAATGGTGAGTCACGTGTTCTCATAATGGTTACTTCACACCTTCTCTTTCCTTTTATTTTATTTTTTTAAATTTCGACAGCTCTTTAATGAGCAACTACCAGTGGTCCCTTATCTTGCACAAAGTATAATCATTTCTCTGAGCATTCTATAGATTAGGGCCACTGCCTGGTTGAAACATATGATTCATTAATTTTTTAACTCTGTTGTTTGTATAAATAAGGGCTTATTTATTATTTTCTCTTCCAATGGACAGTGAGGTTTCAACTTCAGTGTTAATAAACATCTTGTATTGCATGTACATATTAAATTGGAGTGTTGTAGTATATGCCTATCTTAGACTCTACTGGGTATTGCAGATTGTTCTCCAAAGTGGTTGTACCAGTTGATACTCCCACTGAATTGTAGTTTTACTCTTTGTTGTTCCAAGAAACTGTAAACTCTGGAGGCAAAGGTCTTTGTTTTATTCATCTTTATATCCCTTGTGCCAACCAAACTACTAACAAATAGTAATAGTTGGAAGATTGTTGCATGTATAAATGATGAACTATAGAAGCAAATATATTAATTTCTATCTTATGAAAGTTTAAATATTTATCTTTAAATAATAACTTGTTTTGAACATTAATTATTTTTAAAATGGACATTTCTCAATAAGTAATTAAAATTGTTTGATATTTGTTTCCAGGAAACAAATGAAGGGGATTCAAGCCTTGCCACCGAGTTACAGGAGGAGACAGAGGAGAATCCTAGTCCAGCTGTGGATGAGAGTAGTATAGTGTCAACTAAAAAACAGGGACCAAATTTACATAACTGGAGTGGTGACTGGAGCTTTTGGGTAATATTTTTATTTTTTATATTTTCATTTCAACCTTGAATGAAAATTTTCTTTGACTCTACAACAGTTCATATAACATTTATAATATTTTCTTATTAGCTCCTAGACTTTAGACATTCTGATTTTAGACTGGAGTCCCAAAGACATTTCTGACTATGCCCTCCTTTTACCACTAGAATGCACTGTTGTTTGGTTTGATGAGAATAGTCTGCTTTAATTTCCTTGTGAGAAGACTGCAACACAGAAATAAATTCCACTTACATTGTCGTAAACTATATTGGCAAGAAACTAACATTATATAAGCCATATTTCTAAGCATTATGGGAAAACCAGCTATTTTAATATAATTTATATTTAAAGAATTAGTTCCTGTGCTTAAAAGGAAGTTTAATAATGTTCAGCCTGTAATGTGTAATAACTATAAGATGCATTTTAAAGTTAGGAGTTTTATATTTTATTTATGGTATATTCACTTGGTTGTATAACCTCTATATGCTTTAAGTTTTCCATTTTGTGGGGTAGGCACATTGAGATCTTAGTGTCTTTTTATAAGAATGTTTCTGTTCATCTATGAATGCTAGCATTTATTATGTTAAAAGCCTCCTTCTACATCTAGCAATTCTTATGAGACTTATGAAACATTTGATGGAACCTAGTATAACACAACTATAAGTGAAATTTGTATAAGATCATAAGGCATATGTAGTTCTAATGTTAGAACATTAGAAAGCTGACTTCTTGAAGATTAGGAATACTTGAAAATAGATTTTCTTATAATTTTATAGCATCATTCTCTTCATAATTAGCAATTCAGTTCATGGGAATATTATTGAATCTTAATATGATTAACAAGTTCTAACTTCTAATTAAGAAATTTTAAGTGATAAGTTTTTTTTGAACTACAACCTAAGGAAAAATTCAATTACTAAAAAATATACCAAAAAACCACCCCAAAACACATCCTAAAAATCATGTTATCTATATTGACTATATTATTGTTGGTCACATTTAGAGAAGGTTGATGACTACTGTTGTGTTTTGATTCTTCTGCTCTATGATTTTTATAGCTTACGTTGTGGACTGGGGAGTCTTCATAGCTCTAAGGGCTATCTACAGAGCTAAGTAGTTACTATGGTTACTCTTGGCAGACTTAAAGCAAGAAAAAGGATAATACAAGAAAAGTAAAAAGCAAGGGAATTAGAGCATTTAGAAATAGAAGGAGAGAGAAAAAAGAAATATGCACTGGATCCTTGCTACTCATACTATAGTATATGGGGCTAGGAGACTGGGTTATCACCTGTCACTTCTTTAGAAATGAAGTATCTTGGGCCCACCTTAAGACCTACTAGATCAAAATCTGTGTTTTTCACAGTATTAACCAGATGATTCAAGTGCTTCTTAAGCTCAGGTTAGGCCCCTAAGGTGATTGCAGACACTTTATTTTGATAAATGTTTATATGAATTCACGTGAATCAGATTTAAAGACAAATACAGCATTTCAGAATTTTTATAGACTTTGCAGAGGTCACTTACCCAGAAACCAGAGCTATCAAAATTCAGAGGCTGTGTTGGATGTAGCTCAGTGGCAAAGCACTTGCCTCACATTCACAAAGCCCGGGGTTCTATCCCTAGCCCCCAGTTCTAAAAAAGAAAAAAAAAAAAAAAGAATTCAGAGACAAACATAAACAAAAAAGACCCTGCATGGATAAATTAGTTCATGCAGACATAACTGGTAATAGGAGACCTCCTCAAATCTTGATTTGGAGTTTCTATAAAATATTTTGCCATATTTTAAAAAATATAGTTCAAATAAGTCAAAGCCAGATGTGGGTGCACACCTGTAATCCCAGCAACTCAGGAAGCAGAAGCAGGAGGATCTCAAGTTCAAAGACAGCCTCAGCAATTTAGCAAGACCCATCTCAAAATTAAAAAAAAAAAAAAAAAAAACAACCTGGGGATATAGCTCAGTGATAGAATATCCCTGGGTTCAATCTCCTGTACCAAAAATTAGTTTCAATAAATTGAATAGAATATCAAAGATAGGATAATTACTGGATAATAACACATGCACAGTAACAAGAAATAACAGCAGAAGCTCAAAAAATATTGTAACCTGAGCTCTTTAAGTGGAGGCCAAAGATCTATGTAGCTAACATGATTCAGGGATGGTAAAGCCTACTTTCTAAACACCTGGATAGTGTGACTGTATCATAACTGGTAAAAATGACGTTTAAGAAGTTTGGAAAATAAATAATGAATTTTTTTTTCCTTTGCCATTTTAAACCCATCTGCTTCTACCACTGTCTCTACTATGTTGCTGTTTTCTTTTCTTCATTCTTCTAGCAATGAAATAGGAATTTAATGAATATAATAAAATAGCAGAGTTCACAGAAGAATCCAAAATTAACATAGAGTAGCATAAAGGAAAATATTCATGAAACATATGACCTGATATTTAAACAAAGATTAAGAATGGCAGAGCTGCTGTACTTGAACATACAAGGAATTTGTAGTTGTACCTTTTACACTTTAGGAAGGTTATTCATTCATTCTTCCTCCCTTCCTTCCTTCCTCCCTCCCTCCTTCCTTCCTTCCTTCCTTCCTTCCTTCCTTCCTTCCTTCCTTTTCTCCCTCTCTCTCCCTCCCTCCCTCTCTCTCTCTCTCTCTCTTTCTTTCTTTCTTTCCCAAGCCAGTGCCTTATAGAAAAACAAAAACAAACAAACAAACAACAACAACAACAAAAAACCCCAAAACACACACAAAACCCACCACAACAGCTTTACTTTTTACAGGAATGGATTGAGAGGAGAAAAGAAAAATCCAAAATAGGGCAGAGAAGTGTAGACTAAAAAATAAATATAAATGTAAGCTGTTTCGTACAGATGTAAGCTGTTTTGTTAATTGTTTCATAATTACAACAAACTAGTACAAAGACTGCCCTGCTGGACATGGTGAGGCACAACTACAATCCCAGCAACTCAGGAGGCTGAGGCAGGAGAATAGTAAGTTCAAAGCTAGCCTCAGCAATTTAGCACGGTTCTGGGAAACTTGGTGGGACCCTGTCTCAAAATAAAAATAAAATATCCCCATTACCAAAAAAAAAAAAAAAAAAAAAAAGAAGAAGAAGAAGAAGATTGAGATGTTCCCTCTGCCACACTGAAGATTTCGTCTCTCGCATTTGGAATTGAGTTTGCAGTCCTTTCTTTGAATGGGTCACTGGGTGTATGGCATAGTCCAGGGTTTTAAGCAGATTTAAACAGCAGAATGGCCACTGGACCCAGGCAGAAGTAGATGAGTGTTTGATTTCATGTACAACATAAACCACTGATATTCCTTCCCAAGATGCAATGCTGAAGGGGTTGTACTTCTTGCTAAACTTTTTTTTTTATGTTATATTTCTCTAGTGCCTCCATAACACACTCCCCCAAGTCCTGTTGCATCTCCTTTGACATGTCTGCATTTTTGATCACGGCTTTTCAGTTGCATAAGGTTACCTTGGTGTAAGGGCTGGTTGACTGCAGCGGTCTCAAGAGGGAGGTGCTGGCATCCCTCAGGCCCAGAGGAGCTACCATTGTTACCAATGTTATGGCACATCTCTAGGAAGGTTTCTACTAAAATAATCAAATAACTTTTTAAGGTTTTGGTATTTAAGAAGCTAAGCTCCAGGGAGCTGGAAAATTCAATAATGTAGAAAAACTCCTAAAGTCTGACTTGACAAAACCAGTAGTTCCACAGTAGTGAGTTCAGAGAGCAGCATGATATGATTGAGCAAATGGGAGGCTGGGAATAAAACATCTGAAATAGTGTCTTCTTTGCCTGGCTGATTTTACTGTGTAGTGATCTTGAATGTTGTATAACCTGACTGTAGTTACATCACCTGTAAATTAGAAATTGTGTCACAGTATGACAACATTGGTATGCATTTAACAGATTGACTAAGAAGTATCTTTCTGAATGGTAAGTCTTTAAAGGAGTATGATAAAATCTCCATAGTAATTGATAGTGGGATCAATAGCTTCAGATTTTCTATTTCAATCCTTTCTTTTATAAATATAGGAATATTGTCACACATCTTTTATTTTTACTTGGAAGTTAAAATATTTAACCCTAGAATGTATGAGAAGAATTGTATTATTAACTTTTAAACCTTCATGAAACAACAGAAAATTATTTGAAATGAATGAATGAAATTGAAAATAATGGCAAATAAGTATTTGTCATAAAACCTTTGCCTTTTAGCTGTTAGTAAAAATACATCATGAAAGGAATAAACCTCAAAACTAAAAATCCACCCCTCCTTAAATAATTGTATATTCCAGGTAGATTAAGGTCCCCGAGGAAAAACAAGCAGATCTGCATTAGGAGCATTTATATAGGGTACAATTTCTCTTAGTGATATAGCATTAACAACTATTGAGAGTAGAAAAAAGCCTTTGAGATTTTCTGTTGTGTGTATTTAGAAGATGACATACTTAGTTGGAAATTTTGATAGAAATAATAGTGCTTTGGATAAAATTATTTATTATAAGCATTACTTTCTACTTTGGCATTAAGTTCCCCCTTTAAAAATTTCATCATTTGTATATCTTTATTTCCTTAGTAGCTGATTTAACTGATTACTTTAAAAAGTGGAAAAATTTATGGTTTCCTGAATTGTGTAACTAACGTTAAATTTGTTTAGGCATCCATGTTTTTATTTGAAAAATATGTATTTTAAAATATTCAAATATATATAGAATAAAGAATATTTGAATCTCAGATTCCTCATATCTTTGATTTAGGAAGCAAAATAGAAGAAAAAAGATGGAGTAGGAAAAGTTTAAAGGAAGTTAGAATTGAAATCATCATTTCTTTTATTTTTTTGTTCAAAATATTTTAAAGAATAGAAAAATCTAGATTTTTAAATATTATTTGTATATATATAAAAGTAATAATTAGCCAAAATTTATGTTTTAATAGAATATGTTTAGAGTTTAGCTTTTCTTTTTATTTATTTATTT